AACCAGAGTTTCTCCGTACCAACCACTTTAGTTACTTTTTTCACTATTTAATGCAACTCCAGGGTTGGTGGGTTCATTAAATAATTATTCATTCTAGGAATAAATTGGCAACGAAAAGAATTGCCTGACGTTGGGCTCGCGATATTGAGGTTTTAGAGGCTGTTAAAGCCCTTTTGTTCATGAATAACTCTAATTCCGAAATTTTCGGTGTCAGTGAATCCTCAGAGCTCGCCTCCGTGAAATGAAAAGTCCGAATGATGCGAAGGATAATATTTCAACAAAAAAACGTGGCATTTTGTCTTCATCCCATTAATCTTTTCATCCTCCAACAACTGAAGTCGCGGCTCGAGTCGCTCTGAGCGGAGCCGGTGCTCACAAGAATCCCTCGCTCTACAAAATCCCTCTGCAGCATTTGTAGTTAAACATCCAGCTTTTATTTGAACTCAATTTCATGCTGTAGTGCTTCACCAATTTGCTGTTATTTTCTTATCCATTTAACTTTGACGAGACCGATTTCAATTTGTTCTTGTGGTCATTAAAACACTGATTCGAGTGGCTTTGAGCGGCGACGAAACCGATACGACTCATAATCTTCAAGATGTATGAACACCATCGCTCATGGCTTCGGAGTGGCTATAATTTTAATCTTATTTGACTTGAGAAATTAGTTTCGTGCTGTCAACACGAAGCTGTTAAAACCCTTTTATTCATGAATAACTCTAATTCCGAAATTTTTGGTGTCAATGAATCCTCAGAGCTCGCCTCCGTGGAATGAAAAGCCCGAATGATCGATCATGGCCTCGAATTTGTAATCTCAGAATCATTATGACGGCAAAAGCCCCATTTTTTCAATCAGCCCAATAAGTCTCGCCATTCAATTGAGATCGCGTTGCGGTGAGCGAAGACTTCTCTGCGAACAGCAGATCCAGTAAATCCTGTCATAATTTATACCCCCAGGTTTCTCCCGTAAGCCCCCAATAAGTTAGAGAAAATTACCTTTCGTAAGTTATACCCGGGGCCGAAATTCGGTTGTGGTGACGCTTCCTCAATTGCTGATTACTCAAATTCAATATAACTTACTGGCGCTTCAGCACGTGAATTATGCCAGCCTCTACTCTGCCTTCCAAATCACAATTAAGACCGAGTGTCAATATAACTTCGCGAATGTTCATGTATCGCATTCCCCCGAAATAGTCATAAGAACTCCAAAGTTGAAACTCGTAGAATCGCATTAATCTCCACTTTGTGCATGCCCCCGTGCAATTAAATCATTACAAACGAGCATAACAGTGAGCGAAATATTCCCCCCGAAACTATTTTCCCAATGATTACCCAGAGTTGATTAATTAAACGTAATTCCCAGACTCTTTTCGGCGCATTTCTTCCCGCGAGTTTCCACCGGAGTTTGCTTTCAAGTTTGACTGCCAATGAAGTCAGAAATTCCATTTTCCCCGGGAACTTCTGATTCATTTCAAACAATTTCCACGAATGACTGATGAAAGGCCTTCTACGTCAGTCGCTCCTCCACCAGAGCGAGAGAGAGAGAGAGGAAAAATAATAATTTCATATTGTAGATCGTAGCACAAGTGTGCGCACGGCCGCCTAACCGCGGAGCACGCGCTTCTCTGAGGATCGATACTTCACTTGGACTCGGAACAATTCCAACAATATCGAGAGGAAAACGTTGATCTCGCAAACTAAATTCTTTTTTTTTCATCATTCCTCCCTTTTTGACGTCTAGACTGCGGGATTGCGCTGGTGGTGGTGTGTCCGGGCGGGGGGC